GAGCAGTTGGTGGTCTAAGCCAGGGGCCATGTAGTTCTGGTCTGGGGGCTGTGGGGGTCCTTTCGTTGCGTGGTCCCTTAGACGGTTTCCATGCACCTTCCGATAGTCAGCACTCTCTATTCCTCCGCATAGGCAGAGACCAATAGTTGCACCTTAGATGTTGCTCACGAACTTGTAAGGTTCCAGGTTCTACTCCGCAGAATCGGATGAGAGCATTGTCTTTGTGAACTAGCTTGTGCCCATTGACCCAGGTGTCCCAAGACGATGGTCCTGGTCCCCTGGACTCAGCGACTCAGCCCCTCAAGGTGTTTGGTTAGCTCTAGCTTTTCCGCCTCCCCCACCCGTGAGTGTGCGTCACTGCATTCATGAATATTATGCAGCAGGGGCAAATAGCCATCGACAGGTAGCCTTTATCCATTCATAGCTATTCTCCTGCACACCATTGCAGTGTCCCATTTGGCTCTGTTGCCTTTAATTCTTGTAAACCTCCCAGTGTCTTCTCCTACCAACGTCTTTGTTTTCCTAACCTCGCTCTTACTATCTATACCTTCCCCTTCACCCAAGTTCTCACTCACTGCCAGAGTCAATTCTGGCTCCTAGGGACCCTGCAGGACCGAGCAGCACTGCTGCTGCTGGTGCCTGAGACTAAAGGAGTGGAAAGCCTCCTGATTCTCCCGCAGAGCCACTGGAGGTTGCAGACTGCTGACCTGAGGTTAACCGCCCAGCCTCCGGGGCTCCTGCCCCCAAGTTAACATTGGCCTGCTGTCTGACCCCTGGGTCTCCTCCACCTCCCTCCCATTCCTGCCCCTGGTAACCATCAAGGCATGTTTTTTTCTCAACATTTCATAACTGTGGTCTCCTACAATATTTGCCCGCTTGCAGTTAACTAATTGCACTCCCCAGAGTGCCCTCCGGATTCATGCACGTTGTGAGCTGTTGTGCAGATTCATTGTTAGTCTTTCATGTCGTACCGTATTCCCTTGTGTGAAGGTACCAAAGTTTAGCAGCTGTGTTAGTCCCGGTTGACTATAGAAACAAATTCATAGACATTCATATATGTATAAGAAAGAGCTTTATATACAAGAGCAATTGAGTATTGAGAAAGCATCCCAGCCCAATCCAGATCAAGTCCGTAAGTCCGATATTAGTCCGTATATCTGATACCAGTCCATAAATTCCTCTTCAGACTCATAAAACACATACAATGATGCCGAATTCGGG